GGGTCGCAACCCACAGGTAGAGAAGCCTGCTCTAGACATTTTGAACCCAGGTGGTGTAGTGGTTACACTTTGGGCGGCAATCCACACCTGCAGTTTGAAACCACCAGCCACGCCTGAGGAGAAAGACCGGCTTTTCTACTCCTGTAGACAGTTTGTCTCAGAAACTCACAGGGGCAGTTCTGCCGTCTCCTCTCGGTCGCTTTGAGCCAGCATCGAGTTTTTTGTTGGGTGAATGAATGAATGATCTCTAGTGTCTCATCATTGTGCTCAACTTACACATGAAAAGTGTGTGACCTTCAGAAGTCACACCGTGAGTAAGCAGAGCCGGAATCTGAACTCAGTCTGACTCCCAAGTCCTAAACTTCCACCTCATCTGTCTCATTCCAGGATCCTGTACTGTGGACGGTGTTCCCTGAGCACCCCGTGCCAACCAGCAAGTCGGCCCGAGCAGGCCTGGAAAGAGACGACTTTTAGGTTGTGGACCAGGTGATTCTGTGGTCCCTGAGAACTCAGGTGGAATTGGGGTGGACTTGTGAACTTGGCCTCTTCTTGCACACCCATGGCACCCCGACTACAGATACGGCTGATGACATGGGACGTGAAGGACACACTGCTCCGACTCCGCCACCCAGTCGGGGAGGAGTATGCCGCCCAGGCCCGGGCCCATGGACTGGAGGTGGAGGCCGCAGCTCTGGGGCAAGCCTTCAGGCAGGCGTACAAGGCTCAGAGCCACAGCTTCCCCAACTACGGCCTGAGCCGGGGCCTCACCTCCCGCCAGTGGTGGCTGGATGTGGTGCTGCAGACCTTCCGCCTGGCGGGTGTTCGGGATGTGCAGGCCGTGACCCCTATCGCCAAGCAGCTGTATGAAGACTTCAGCAGCCCTGGCACCTGGCAAGTGTTGGAGGGGGCCAAGGCGGCCCTGCTGGGGTGCCGAAAGCGAGGTCTGAAGCTGGCCGTGGTGTCCAACTTCGACCACCGGCTGGAGGACATCCTGGTGGGTCTTGGCCTGCGGGAACACTTTGATTTTGTGCTGACCTCTGAGGCTGCCGGCTGGCCCAAGCCCGACCCCCGCATTTTCCATAAGGCCTTGCAGCTGGCGCACATGGAGCCGGCGGTGGCAGCCCATATTGGGGACAGTTACCGCTGTGATTACCAGGGAGCCCAGGCGATAGGCATGCACAGTTTCCTGGTGACTGGCCCGGAGCCCCTGGACCCTGAGGTCAGGAATTCTGTCCCTGAAGAGCACATCCTCCCTTCGCTGTCCCATCTCCTGCCTGCCCTTGACCGCCTGGAAGACTCGCTCCCGGGGCTTTGAGTGTGCCAAAGGAGGCGCGAGGCCCCATGGCCCCGCAGAAACCTCTAAGCCAGCATTGGAGGCTTGGAACTCCCTTCCGTCTCTACAAACCTGGCCTTCGCCCCACCCCATTCAGACTATAAAGCAGGGTGTCAGCGTTCTGCCCTGCCTCACTAACCTGATCCTCATCTTAGATGTTTCTTGTCCACGCATGTGCATCTTTTTTATTCTTCAGTCTCCTCTCACCTCTCACAAGAGTCACCGAGAGCCCAGGTTGCTTCAAAACTGAGCACTTTCAAGCTTCGCGTTAGCAGCAGGGCCCCGTCACCTTGGGATATCACACAGTGTACAAAGCGAAGCTCCAAGAACAGCCACCTAGATACCTCCTCCCTTTGGAAGCAAGCATGGGGTGAGGGAGCCGAGTTCGAAAATCGGGTGGTCGAGCTGTCCTACCCGTTAGGACCAGTCTGAATGGGGGGCTTAGACGAAAAGCCCCCGGAACACCTGCCTGCGTCAGGCACTCTGCTGAGGTGTATACACATTCCCTTGTTAAGGGCCCCAGGGCAGGTGTTGTGAGCCTCACCCCGTCCCACTTTACAAATGAGAGGTGGAGGTTAAATACCCAGTCCGAGTTGCAGGTAGGAAGAGGTGGAGTCAGGAGTCAAATTTTGGCACGTCAGAGTCCGAAGGCTATGGGCTTAATCTACGGTGACCAGATTTTAACATTGGTAACGCGGGACACCATTGATAAAACTCATATCCTGGTGAAATAGCCACATGGCAGCCGAAAACCGTATGCCCTAGCTTGTGCATTCTTTCCAAAAGTCAGGACTTTTTAAAAACGCCGCGGGACGCGGGGGAAAATTGTTAAAGATCGGGACTGTCCCGCCAAACGTGGGACGTCTGGTCACCTTAGCTTAACCCCTCTCCTGAGTGCACATGGAAGGAATGTCACGTGTGGAGCCCTTGCGAGTCAGGAGACGCTTCTAAAGCATGCCAACCTGGAGGGTGAGGAGTGGCTGGGGAAAGGTGCAGGGAAAGGGGCCGAGCTCTGAATGGGGGGATTGTGAGGAGTTGGCGGAGGTGGGGGGTGGGGGGAATAACGAGATTGGAGGAGGAGGGTTGGGTTTTAAAATTCCCTTTCTCTTCCTACCTGACCCTTCTACAAACCTTTCTGCCTGGTCTTTATTGGGTATGAACCTTTATGTCTTTGCCCAGCACTAGGTGCCCGGGATCCCACAGACCAACACAAACAGGTACATACAGTGTGTATGTTCAGGTGCCAATAAGAGTAACTAGGGAGGGGCTTCTATAGGAGGGTCTGAACTGGGGCAGGGTGGAAGTGGTATTGAACTGGCCTGAGGAGTAGGGGAGGGTGGCATTTCTGGCAGCAGGCACATGAACTGTGTCCTAAAGGCTGGCAGATGTGAGGGAGGCTTGGGGCCTTCAGGGGCCAAGCTGCAGACCTTGGCTTTGGTGCAAGTTTGGCGGCATGGGTCGTTCCCAGGCAAAGACAGGAGTCAGCTCCAGACTTGATTAAACCCCCTCCAGGTTTGCTTTCCTTAGGCCTGGTACCCAAACCAGGCAACGTGCCATTGATGCCCACGTGTCAAGGCAGTGAGGAGTCCGGGCCGTTGTGGAGCTACGGGGAACTCCAAGATCCTCTCAAGGAAAGAAAGTGACCAAGAGGAAGTCTTTGGACTAGATGACCCAACCGGTGTTTCGAGTTAACTACTGAGCAAGCTTTTTAAGAAGCTCAGCTACTCTTGAGAAACCTCTACTCCTGCCACTCAGGGCTCCCTTTCCCTCGAGGCCACAAACAGCCAAACTAAGTAGCGGCTATAGTGTTCCAATCTGGAACTCCCTCTCTTGCCCACGGATCCCAGCAGGTCTTAAGAGTTTGTCCCCCGTGATTGAACTTGGGTTTTAAACGCCCCTGGGACCCCCACCTCCTTCATGCCCAGCAGCCTGAAGCTGTGGGAAAGACTGCTTTCGAAGAGGTTTCGTGACACAAACCCAGACTAAATAAGCCCTGTCCAGTGAGTCCACCGGGAGAATGGGACGGGCTTGCCTTCGGTCCCAGCATTAAAAAGCACAAAACCTTGTCTCCGGACTCTCCTCTGCTCTGCTGCTGCCCACTGTGTCTGGATAAAGGGAAGCTGGGAGTTGGGGGCCAGCATACGGTATACTGTACACCCGATGGCCAGCAGGAAACATGGGTGGAATCTTTAAATCCTTTAAAACCTTTAATAACAGATGTTCCCTAATGTCGGAGCCCTAACTCCTCCAGTCCTCCCTGGCTGGATGCTTGCACACCAGGTCTCACCTGAAGGGAGGAGGCCATTAGGTCCGAGCCAGCAAAGTGGGGAAAGCTCATCCTTCACCCGTGGGCACAGGATGGAGCGTGGGTGCCAGGTCCGAGCCAGCTGTCTGGTGCGTGGGTTGTGGTCTGGTTACCTGGAGGCATGAGCCTTCCCACCCAACCCTCCCTCCAGGCTTTGGGGTGCTAGACAGGCCCTGGAAGGGGATTAGGGGGTACCCCGCCAAAACCCTCAGTTCAGGGAAAGCGCGTCAGGAGCTCCAGGCCTCGTTTGCCCAGGTGAACTAGAGAGGTATTTGTGCCATTGTGTGGAAAAGATGACATGCACGGCAGTGAGGGGCTGACGGTGCTTCAGTCCCAGGCCTTTCTGCTGGAGAACTCCACTGGCACACTCAGCCGAGGGCAGGGGCTGGACAGCAGTGCTGCTCCCAGAGTCGGCCAACCTGGGTGGCCAGACCACCCACCTACCGCATATTTGGTGGCAGGTTCTCTGTGCTCCGGGAACCAGGCTGGATGCCGGGATAAAGCGGTGAAGGAGATAGACACTCAGAAGAGCAGGTGCATGGTGTGGTGGTGGGCTGGAAGACTGGGGCCCCGGGATTAGCGAGTAGCCCGGAGATACCCAGCACGTCAAGGCCACGTGCCAGATCTGAAACGGGCCAGCTTTCCCAAAGTTGCCCCATTTCCCTCAAATGCCATAGCATTGGGTAAAGGTCCCGGGTAGAAAGGTGGCCTGGCAGGATTGGGGGGCTGGCGGACCTGACCTCCTTGCAGCTAAAGGTCAGCAGATGATAGAAATGGTCTGATCGGCCACAGCAAAGACGGGGAAGAGGGGTGCCGGGAAGGGGGCACGGTGGGTGTGGAGCACCGTGCCCGAGGAGGGCTCGAAGAACAGCAACTCCTGCGCCCGCAAGTCCAGCAGCACCCCCAGCCGGACCGGGCAACGCAGTAGCCCCAGCGCCTCGTGCTGCCCATCATGGGAGAAGCAGAAATCCCGGTCGTAGCGGGAGAAGACCCAGGAGAAGGCATTGTGGCCCAACCGGCAGTCGCTGCCAGAACCCTTGCGGGGCAGCTGGCCTGTGGCCACGCCCACCTTGTAGGCACAACTGTTCTGGACGTTGACCACCCAGCCATGCAGCCCAGACTGGAAGCAGGTGGTGGCCAGGGCATTGGGCCAGTGGTCAAAGCGCTCCGGGCCATCTGCACAGGCCTTGGACTTCTTGGCGCTGAAGGTCAGGGTCCTTCCATCATCTGACAGTTGCAAGAAGGGGCTGACGGTCCTTTCATCGACCCGCACATCTTCTGTGCCTGCCCGAGAGAAAGCTGCGTTGCCCAGAGCCTGCCCCGCACCCTTCCCAGGCCCTGCCGGCCAGGGAGCACAAAGCTTCCTTGGTTCACGGCTGGTGCAATCTTAGACAAGCCTGGTATTCTCCCTGAGCCTCCGTTTCTCATCTGTAAAATCAGGATCAGGACAGGATGTCTCACAGGGTCTCTTATGGGGATTACATGAGATGATTATGTGGTAAGGGTCCAAGGTATGATGAGTACCAAATGCCAGTACTATTATTGGTCCAAGGCCTTCATCTATAAACTGACAGCAGTGAGACCCAAAGTCACACCCCCAGTTAGTAACAGGGTCCGGAATGAACAGCCGGCATGTGCCTTTATTTAGTACCTAGTCCTGATATCACTGAGTTCTAGCTGGTCCTACCTGAAGCCTCTGAAAGAGGCCCTTGTCCTGGAAGCTAGGAAGCAGCAGGTCACCAGCGTGTAACAGCTAACTCCGTAAACTGCCGGTAAGCCAGGCCCAGGCACCAGGTTCAACATTAAGCACCCTGGAGCTTACTGGTGTTTGAAGGATCTTAGGGGAGAAGGAATCAAAACAGGAGAGAAATTCTCATCATTAACCTCCCCTTTCTGTGAATTGTTCAAGGAGCACCCCGGGAACAGGTAGCGGAGGACAGGCTGCTTTGGGAGCCCCTGGCTAAGTGGGTGTTTCTGCAGGCAGAGCCCCTTTTCCATCTGTGGCCCCAACATGCAGTCTGAGGGCAAGGCCACATGCGTCTGAGTGGATGTTTATCAAGTGCACAAGAGAGGTGGACCCAGGAAACCGAACTGCCCGTCCAGATGCGCCCCAGCTGGCTGCAGCTTCAACTTCTGAGCCCCTGGAGGCTGACAAGAAAGAATCCTGGGCTGCCCCAATGCTGTAAAGAAGGCAAGATTTACAGGAACGAGATTTCCCTGCTCCAACCACAGGGCAGGTGGGCCAGAGCCCTGGCCCCACTGACCAGCCTGCACCCAACATCACTGGTGGGTTAAGCCACCATCCCTGACACACAGCTGTGGATGCAGCCAACACAGCCCGACGGACAGACAGAAACCCAGTTGCCCCTACTAGTGCCGGGTTCTGGCAGCCCCTGACCTGAGAAGGAGCTGAGGACGGCCGCTGCCCAGAGTTGGGTCAGCAGTGGACTCTGGGTGCACTTCGGGTTAAAGTGTAACTTCTCGGACTCCTGGGGGTCCAAAATGCCCTCTGCTTCCTCGGTCCTGATGCAGAGGGAAAAACAAAGCACAAAGACACCCATTCAGGTTCTGAAAATGTACAGATGTGGATCACAACAGGCCCAGAGAAGGAGAACAGAAATAAAAGGACCCTTCCCCCAAACCCTGTGCCAGCTAGGCCCTACAACAAGGTCCCTTAAGGGGGGGTTGAACCCCAAGACAAAGGTAGGCAGCCCCCCTTCCCCCCTCCCCTCCACATGAGTCTTTATTCCAGCAAGGCAGACTGGGGAGAGTTTAACAATAGTAGCATACAATTCCTCCACCCCACCCTGCCATCTCAAAGTAGAGCATTCCTACAAAACCTGCCTATCTCACGGGGGAATCAAGTCGGAATCGACTCAGTGGCAGTGAACTTGGGTTGGGTTTCTGGTTGGGTCCGAAGGTAGTCACTTCTCTTCATATGCATAGATGCCTGGAGAGGCCACCCAGGAAAGGACAAGGAGTTATCGTCCCCACCGAAAATCAGAGCTCCTAAGGAGACATCTTCTTGGTTCACAGTGGGAACAGCTGGGCTTTGTTGGAGAGCGTAACCTAGGGCGATGAACGGCCTGGGAAGAGAGAATCACCATTTATCAGCAGCCAGCCTCTGGGCATTGCTGTTTTCCAAAGGGAGCCTTTCAACCACCTGGGAGGTGGCGATTACCTCATTTGACAGGAGAGAGAACAGGCGTGTGGCTAAGAGGGGGGCTGGGACTCCAAACAGACACGGAGCCCAGGCACCACTCGACAGACCTCTGCCCTGACTTGAGGGTGGAAAATTGAAAAGAAAGTTTGGGCAAAGTGGGGATCTACCATGGAGGCTTCCAGATGTCTGACCTGGATTCGGAGAAAGAACTTTTCCCCAAGCGTCTGATCCTGAAACGGCTTTGAGACCAGGCAGCAGATGTGAGAGGACACACTCTCTCTCCGGAATATCATAGCTGCCCATAGAGTGGGCAAGGCTGAGCATGTGGGCAGGTTCCCTTCCAGATGCACGCTCTTTGCAAGACTGTCACTGTCCTGGCTGGAGGGAGGAGGTGATGGGAGCCCTAGAAATGCTGAGCGCAGGCTCAAGAAACAAAGGCTCTTTGTGGTTTAGACAATTGAGAGTCTGTGGCTGGGCCCTTCTCAAAGCTGAGGCTGAGCTCCGCAGGAGCCTGGCCATCGGCAGAGGAGGAAAGAGGAGCAGGTGGCAACAGTGTTGAGTTGACATCCCAGGCAAATCTGAGAGTAAACACAGAACCAGTTGGCCCCACTGCCCCATGGTACAGAGAACTCGGGGCACCGAAGGGGTGGGAGTGAAATGGTACTCGGGCACAGCAGGCCCGGAGGTGGGAACAGAGCGCCCATCTTTGCAGTAGGACCTGTCACTGGCAGGCCAGGGCTGAGTCCAGCACTGGCTACACAAACAACACCGGAGCCCAATCAGGCATTCGTCAGCCGAACAAATCCGCTCCCAACAAGAACGCGCTTACCGCTTGGAACACGACACGCTCCATGCCCTCCGTCTACAGGCACAGAGGACTAAAAACAAATCCTAAACATAATTAGTAGGGAGAGCTTGCTTTTGTTTTATTTTGATTTTCCCTCCACAATTGGCATCATTTGAGTATGGGCTATGTATAAGAATGTCCTATTGATTTTTTTTTTCCCCAGGGGAGAGCGCGAACGCAGTCCCCGGGGGAAAAAAAAAAGAAAAGAATATCCTATTGATGTGAAATTTCCTAAATTTAAAAATTATACTGTAATTACGTATAAGAATGCCTTTGTTCTTAGAAGATACATGCTCGGGTAGTTAGGAATAAAATGTGATTTCTGTCAATTGCCCTTCTCAAATAGTTGAGAGGGGAAAAATAAGGAGAGAAACCTTAAAAGCAGAGAGAGACAAAAAACATCAAAGTCTGGCAAAACGTTAATAGCTGATAATTCCAAGTACAATGCATTGTGCTGTTCTTGCACCTTCAAGGGGTCATTAAAATAAATGTGCAACATCCATACTGGGCAGTACTTCACAGTCAAATAAGGGAGATAAATCTACACGTGCTGATACGATGTCTTGAATTGTGTGTGTACCCACACACACACACACCAAAAAAAGTTATGTATCATCTTGGCTAAGTCATGATTCCTACTTTTCTTATTAGATGTAATTGTCCTATGTGCAGTGAATCCTAATCTTTGCCTGTGGTTAATGCAGCAAGCCTACTGCTGTGAGGTAATGTCAAGTCAGTTCCAACCTATAAGAACGACAGTCTGAAACACTGCCTGGTCTTGTGCCGCTCCCACCTTAGCTACTGCTAAGGTTGAGCCCATCGCTGCCGCCATTGTGTCAATCCCTCTCATTGAGGGTCTCCCTCTTTTTCGCTGACCCTTGACCAAGCACGATGTTCTTCTCATGAATCAGTCTCTCCTGACAACATGTTCAAAGCCCATAAAGCAAGTCTCATCATTCTTGCTCCTAAAAGCATTCTGGTTGCACTACTTCCATGACAGATTTGTTCATGCATCTGGTAGGCATTTAATATTCACTTACTATTCCTTCTCTGCTGTCCAACTGTTGCCTGGAAACGAGGCGATGGAAAAGACCAGGTCTTCAATAGGCACACCTGAGTCTTCCACGTGGCAGCTTTGCTCTGTAACTTGGAGGGGACTTTTGCAACAGATTTCCCCAATGAAACCCGTTTGTTTTTCTGACTGCCGCTTCCATGAGCCTTGATTGTAAATCAAAGTAAAATGAAATCCTTGACAACTTCAGTCTTTCTCAACTTGTGATGTTTCTTATTGGTCCAGTGTGAGGATTTCTGCTTTCTTGAAGTTGAGATGGGATCATTGGAGGCTGCAGCCATTGATTGCCACCAGCCAGCGCTTCCAGTCCTCAGTGCTTTCAGCAAGCAAGAGTCTCATCTGCATAGTGTCGGTCGTTAATGAGTTTTCTTCCGACCCGGATGCCTTCCTTGTTCTTCTTCATGCAGTCCAGTTTCTCAAGTTGTTTATTCAGCATGCATCTCGATTAATAAGGGACACACTCTGGACAGGCAGCTCTCCTGTCTGATTGAAATCATTCGGAATCCCTTCGTTCTGTTCAAGCAACTGCCTCTTGGTCTCTTGACAGGTTTCCCAGGAACACGATGAGGTGTTCTAGAATTCCCATTCTTCAAAATGTTCTGCAAAACTTGTTAGGATCTCCACAGTTGCATGCCTTTGCAGCCGATAAAACAGACACACATCTTTCTGGTTGTCTCTGCATTCAGCCAAGTGCCATCTGACATCAGCAATGATTTCCTTTGTTCCACATCTTCTGAATCTGGCTTGACTTCCCGGCAGGTCCCTGTCAATGTACTGACTCCACTGTTTGTTTGTTTTTAATGATCTTCAGCAAAATTTACAGGATTGGGTTATGGTAAGGAGGGTTAGACCAAGTCTGTTATGTTCTGAACAGGATTAGGGTAGGATGTAATGCCCTTACAATTCATAGCCATGTAAGGTGAGTTTCCCTGTTTCGTGGGGTGTGGTCTGTAACACCTTTTATCTTACAAGAGGTAAAAAGGAAGTGAGAAGCCAGCAGAGAAGGACTTCAGTACCACCCATAAAGAAGCGCTAGGATCACCTTCCCAACACGATCACTGAAGACAAATGGGTGCATAAGCAAATGTGGTGAAGAAAGCTGATGGTGCCCGGCTACCAAAAGATATAGCGTCTGAGGTCTTAAGGCTTGAAGGTAAACAAGCGGCCATCAAGCTCAGAAGCAACAAAGCCCACATGGAAGAAGCATACAAGCCTACGTGATCATGAGGTGCCAAAGGGATCAGGGATCAGGCACCATCAGAACAAAAAATCATATCATTGTGAATAAGGGGGAGTGCAGAGTGGAGACCCAAAGCCCATCTGTAGGCAATTGGACATCCCCTTACAGAAGGGTTGTGGGGGAGGAGATGAGCGAGTCAGGGTGCAGTGTAGGAACAATGAAAAATACAACTTTCCTCTAGTTCCTAAATGCTTCCTTCCCCACCCTCTCCCACTACCATGATCCTAATTCTATCTTATAAATCTGGCTGAGGGAGAGGAAAAATGAGGACCTAATGCCGGGGGCTTAAGTGGATAGCAAATGTTTTGAGAATGATGAGGGCAATGAATGTACAAATATGCTTTACACAATTGTTGTATGAGCCCCTAATAAAATGATTTTTTTTAATTAATTAATTAATTAATTTAAAAAAAGCAATGTTGAATGCTAATGCAGACTTGCTCGTGTGCGTGTGAAAGCTGAACAATCGATGGCTTGCCTCTGAACAGAAAGCACTACGCACAACTCAAAGAAGAAACGAATGTGTCTCGGAAGAAGTAGAGCCAGAACGCTTCTTAGAAGCAAGAACGGCAAGTCTTCATCTCCCGTACAGGAGAGACCAGAGGCCAGTGTCTGGAAAAGGCCATCGTGCTTGGTAAAGCAGAGGGTGAACGCACAGGAGGAAGCCCCTTGACAAGAGGATGGGCTTCTATACATAGGGTCGTGAGGAGTCAGAACTCAACAGGCTCTAAGAGCAACAACGAATACAGACTTGAATTTTAAGAAGTACGCCATCAAAGGGAGGCAATCCTAGACAGTTGGTAGAAGGTATGGATCCAAGTCCTAGCTTAGGGGCTTAGCAAGTCTCTTCCTTTCTTTGAGCCTCAGCATCTGCATCTATACATAGGGGTGACCAAATGCTCCACTGTGATGGCAAGCCTCCAATTACATGCAGTCGCTTCCCTGCCTTTCCACATGGGTCCGTTCTCCTGCGAGGGGCAGCAAAATCCTCGTGCAACGAGCCTCACTCCAGGGAAGCACTAAGCTGCACCCCCCACCCCCCCAGGAGCAGCAGCACCGAAATGCAACAGACTGGGTAAAGGTCTAAGCTCATGATTTCCCAAACTGCCCAAGCAAGTCCCTGGGGCCACACTCACCTCTCAAACACCTCCTGCTCCTTCTGCTGTGAGGAGGAGAAACAGACAAACAAAAATCAACAACCGGGCTTGACACCAGAAACCCTGGGAAGACTTGAACCCAGTGTGGAAGACTGCCCAAGGACACAGACTCTAATGCTACTGCCGACCTTCCCAGTAGCACTCGAGCACTAAACTGTTGTGCCACCAGGACTCTGCGTGTACTCAGAATAAGTCTCTCTTCTCCTGTGCCCCACAGCCTGCTGGGTTCCCCTCAACTACACTTCAGGATAATCATCTATTTACCGCAGGGCATCCCCCACGACAACTGTCGGCTCTCGGATGGCGGGGACACTTTCTGACTGGGACACCACTGTGACTGTCTGCGTGTTTCAGGACCAAATGTGCTCTGTACATGCAATGTGTATGACTAAACGCATGCAAAATCAGGACCATTAAGGAAGTTTTCTTCTCTGTGGCTGTTTTATTCAGATGTCACATTGTCCCTTCAAAACTATTTGTGTGTGTGTGTTTGTGTGTGTGTCATTGGTGTAGTGGTTATATGTTGGGCTGTGATTCACCTGGTCAGCAGTTCGAAACCTCCAAACAGCTCCGAAGGAGAAAGACTGGGCTTTCTACTCCTGCTAGCAGTCACAGTCTCAGTAACCCATGGCGGGTTGCAATGAGTCAGCATTGACTCGATGGCAGTGAATTCGGTTTGTATATTACATATCTGTATGCATTTCTATATGTAAGCATTTCAAAGGAAATGTGCATCAAGGGCCCTCTGCACGGTAGGATGAAGGATGAGCCCCACACGCTCATATTCCACCTCTTTTCCGCTCCTCTGGTACCGTGTTCTCTCTGCAGCCCCTGCTGCCTTTATCCTAGCCGCTCTCTCTACAGCAGCGAGAAGAAGGCTTTCCTGCCATCCCACTTGGTTGGTAGGACCGAAGAAGGCTTTCCTGCCATCCCACTTGGTTGGTGGGACCGCCTAGCTCCCAATGATTTTCTTTAGTATATAGCACATGTCCCTCTATATCCTAATTGCATATATATATATATATCCTTCTAAGGCTTTAAGCTTTAGACAGCTGTATCCTATCCACCCCACCACTTAACATAGCATAGCATAGCATGGCAGGTGCTCAATATGAAAGACTATTGTTATCCAATGTAAAAATTATCCATGCCATTTCTTTCTCATCTCTCCCCCGTTTCAAATTCTCATTCCAGCAAATATTCTCAGTGTTTCCAACTTTGGGGGAATCTGTCCAACTGGTCATGGCCCTGCCCATGCGAAACTTACAATCAGCTGGAGGTCGTCCAGGTGGGTGAGCATGTCCACCAGGCTAGTACGGATCGTGTCTAGCTTCTGCAGCATCTCAGCCCAGTGGACCCGCTGGGTCAGGATACTCTGATGGGCCCGCTCCTCTTCACCATGCACCTGTTCCAGCAGCCGCTGCTCCTCGCTCTCACACAGACTGCGAACCACACTCAGTCGCTGAATGACCAGTTCTCGTGCTGCACTGGCCATGCTCTGTCAAGTGATAAAACAAGAAGTCATTTCCTGGCAAAGCCTCAATCAGGATTAGGAGGGCTGGAAAGGAGTGCGGAGTTCAATTAGCAATGTCTGCCAAGGGGAGGATAAAGGATAGTGAGAGTGCTTAGATCATTTACTTTGCCATCTAGTCCTGACCTCTGTGAGCTGCATTTCCTCATCTGTGAACAGGGAGGTTGAGAGGTGCTGCTCAGTCAGCCTGGACTCGGCAATGCCAAGTACTGATGAACGCAGCACCATTCCGCCCCGCACCATCCTTCCACTCATGGCGTGTTTGAGTCCACCGGCGGGGCCACTGTGTCTATCGAGAGAGCGTTGCCCTCCCTTTCAGGGACCTTCTACTTCACCAAGCATGATGTCCTTTTTCGGGGACTAGGCCTTCCATGTCCCAAAATACGCGAGGCCAGCCTCACCACGCTCACTTCGAAGGAGCATCCTGGCAGTGTTTCTTCCAGGAAAGACTGGTTGGTTCTTCTGGCAATTGGTGGCACTTTCAATAGTCTTTGCCAGCCAAGAAGGATGGCCCCCTCGGAGACACGGACAGGAGTGGTGGTTCCCTGGGGTACGTGGCAGGGGGAGAAGGGGGAGCGGATAGCATCGGTGAATGAATAACCCCACCTGAGGGGACTGAACAGCACAATTGTATGTGAATGGATATCTTGGAATGTGTAAGATATGTCAATAAAACAATTGTAAAATTGGAAAAAAAAAATCTTTGCCAGCACCATCATTCAAATGCATCAATTTTTCCTTGGCATCCCTTCTTAATTGTCCGGTTTTCACATGCATATGAGGGGACGCAAAATACCATGGGGTTTGAGTCAAGGGCACCTTAGTCCTCAAAGTGAAATCTTTAAAAATAAATTTTTTAGAGTAGTCTTTACAATAGATTTGCCCAGTGGGATACTGAATATAACATAGATATTATAAAAGTCCCTAGGTTATTTTAAAATTCTGGGTCTGGTCCATATATCAAATAATGAAGATGCTGCTCTTCCTGATCCCCTGCCCCAAGAGCCCTGAGTAGTTTTCTAGCAGTCTTTATGCCCCCATGTGTAACTGGAAATAAGCTTACGCTGCACGAGGCTCAAGAAAATAGTCCACCACCCTTCCTGGAGAGCCGGCTCCACTAGCAGTCGATGAGTCCCCGTGCAGAGGAAGGAGCCCTGGACTGATGCAAGCACCTATGGACTTGTCCCCTTAGGAGGGGGGCAAAGGAAGAATTACCACTGCGCTCTGGCTCTTTCCCGTCAGGACTTCCGCCACATACTTGGTGATGCCGGCACTCTGCAGCTGCAGCCTTTCACACTGGTCCACCATCTTGTTCTGCAATGAAAACCACACCCTGCTGATCGGTCTCTCTCTCCCAAGAGGTTTTCCTCCCGGCCCCACCTCAAGCACCCACGCCCAGACCTCCTCATTGCTGATATGATTCTATCTCCAAAATAGCCCCTTACACCACCTTCTATCCTTCTAGCTCCCGAACTCTAGAATCCCCACTCCAATAATTCTTCAGCTCGGTTGGGACCGCCATTTCCCTAGACACTTCCACCATCCTCCTATTGGCCTTGCTTTCCTCCTTAGTCTGAATTCCATAGCCGATGAGGAGGAGGAGGAGGAGGAGGATGAGGAGGAAGAAGAGGAGGATGAGGAGGAGGAGGATTATCACTTTTGTGCTTGTGTTGACAACTCTTTTGGCCTCTCTTCCTCTTTCACACTCCGTTCTCTGACTCTCCTCTTCTAAACGCAAGCAGAACATGACTTTTCCAACTGTTCTCCAACTTACCATCATTCATTCCATCAAGCCAGTGCCATAAGTTACTGATCTCTTTACACAGATAAAAAAAAAATAACGAGTTTTCCATCAATCCCACCGCTAATCCCACCGCTAATCCATCACAGAGTCCTATTAGTCCCATCTCCAAAATCTCTCTCCTCTCTGGCCACGTCTCATCCTCATCCCTCCCAGAAACCGCTGCCAGGGCCTCCTCACTGGCTTTCCACTTCTGACTCCCAGTTGGCCAGAGGTCATCGTTTACAAGGAAAGCCGAGGCAGGTTCCGCTCCAGCCTACCACACTAAAGTGAATGGCACAATAAAGCAAATAGAGCAATAAAGCCAGCTGTCCACCTTTTTCAGCTTCCCCATGCCTGTAGAAGTTATGTTTACCCTACACTGTAGTCTGTGAAAGGAGCCTGGGGCAATGTGGGTTAGACCCGACACTGCAAATTGCAAGGTTGGCGGTTCAAACACCCCAGCCACTCCGTGGAAAAGAAGATGCAGCTGTCTGCCCCATAGCTATTTAGTCTCGGGAACCCTGTTGGAATCGGCTCAGTGACGG